AAGCTGACAATAACAACCATATTAATCTTTATATTTCGACATTATCACTTTACCTTGAAAATGTATCAACCTATATAGCAGGGTATATAATACGCAAATTAATATCTGTAAAAAAAGTAACATGTTATGCATGCATAACAGCTATGATGGATAATTAAAATCATAAAAATAGTGATGCTTATAATTTGATAAAAATAAAAAACAATCAGGGGTTAATAATTCCTTCTAAGAGTGTTTCAATATTATTCCAAATTTCTGAAAGTGCATTCCGTGTTTTTGAAAAATCATAGCTAATAAAAAAAAAATTTATTTTCAAAAGGATTTTCTAAAGTACATCAAACAAATATTTTTGATGAACTTATTGATCATATGCAGCTCTACTAATTCTAATTACATTAATAATTGAACGTTATTTGCACATTCGATTTCATCATTATGGTAATAATCAAAATAGAAAATCGAATATCAATATTCATCAGAAATTGACCAAAACAATTTTATTTAATGGCCAATGAATAAATTGTATAGTGTGTCTGAATTAAGATTCCTTTTTTTAAATTTAATATTGTTGATTTATATCATGATCATATATTTTTAAATGTTGATATTATATTTTGTTAAGAAAATTTATTATATCTTATAAAATATTTATAAATTTTCTGTAACTTTAATTTTATAATAAAATTTATTTCATTCTTACACATTTTGAATTAGGTTATGCTTATGATTTTGTAAGAAATACATATGAGAATATGTTAAAATAAATAAATACTGATATGAACACATAATAATAAAAGCCATATTAGAAAATGAAACCAATTTTAAAAAATAAAATATTACAAACAAGGAATGATAAAAACAATAAATAAAATGAAACTAATTTGAAAATTAATACCAAGAGATAAGATTATAAATGGGAATAGGATATCCTAATAAAAGTAAAAATATTTTAAACATTCTCAATAACTGCAGTAGGGTTGCTAAATGTTAAGGTTTAATAGTTATTAAGATCTAATCATATAACTCCATAAAATATAAAATTGATAAGTTTATTTCTTTAATTATAATAAATATTATGAATAATATAAAAATCATTTTAATCATAAAAATTAATAACTTTAAAATATACAAGATTTATTATTATTTATATAAGTAATAATAATTGATAGGATATTTTTGAAGTTATTGCATTATTTTATAATAAGCCATAAGAAAAAAAGCTTTGCTAGTTCAGATATAAATTCAGAATGTTCTATTCCATTTCCAAAATCTATACATCCATGAAACTCATTTTTATACCAATGAATAAGTCACTGTATAGACATTACATCAAGGCTTAAAATAATAAATAATTGATGCGAATTGGATTGAATTGTTAATCCTTTTGAAGGAAGAATCTAAAAAACCTAAAATCAAATAATTTTAAAATTATAGAAATAAGTTTATTTCTAACCTAGCCTTATTTGTATTTGTTGACTCCAAATTCTTAAGAATTATAAAACATCCTACTGAGCAAAATTTTAAAACTAATTAATTGGGCCAGGCACAAGTTCGTAAGTAAATAAAACTCTTAATTTCTTAAGTTTTTATAAATCTAAATGTAATTTATATGGAACCCACAGTTGATATTCTTATATGAAATCTTCAGTTTAGATATATATGATTGCATAAAGTAAATAAGATACCTAATAAACTTGAATAAAAATTGCTGATATTGCTATAATGTAAATTTTATAAATTAAGAAAATAAAAATAAAAGCTTTTGATAAAATATGTTTGATAAATAAAATTGTATCAGTAGTAAATTGAAATGATAATAAAAATAATGGACTCATGGGTAAAATAATTACTTATATTAAGAATTGGTTCTAAGACAAGTTATCATCGATGTACTCAACATGGTGTTAATGGCGTCTCCAGCTGATTTCAATTGATACATGTTTAAAATGCATTTTAATGAATGAATTGTCAGTCTAGGTATTATTATATGTCATTGATTGATACACATAAAGTCAAAATATTCAAAGATGAACTTGACCCTGATTATTTTTTATCAGATAAAATGGTCCCATTAAAATCCCTGTTAAACTTAAATATGGAAACACTGCATCATGAAATGAAGATAGCAAAAGGATTGATAGCTTCGGAAGCTAAAGAAAATCATAATTTTGAAAATATCTTACATATTATGTATAAAAAAAATATAATCATGCATTTAAAAAATTATATAAATGCTACTCAGCAGCGAAAATCATTGGGATATCAACGACTTCTTGTGAGGCCTCGTTCTCTACATTAAAGAGAGTTTTATCGAGCAGTAGAGAGTCTATGAAGGATAAACATAAACTAAATTTAGTATTAATGGCGTATAAAAAAAAGGATAACGCAGAATTTATCTTTTAGTTCATTTATATTAAAATTTAAAAATAAAAATCGCCGTATTCTATTATAGTAATATTTTGTTTTGTATATGCATATTATAGTATTATTTTGTTTTGTATATTCATATTATAGTATTATTTTGTTATTAAATTTTTAATAAAAATAGGAAAAAATTTCTATGAATGCGTAATTATTTGTTTGATTTTAAAAAAATAGTGCCCCCCCCCCCAGTAAGCACTTGGCCCCCCTAAGTGAAAATTCCTGGCTACGGCCCTGAAATTCGGGCAGGGCCGGGCTGGTAAATTTTTTAAAAAAAATTTTGGGTTCGGGCTGGGCCTGACAAAACTTTATAAAAAATTTCGGACCGAGCTTGAAAAATTAGGTCCGATGCAGATCACTAACTCATATTAAGGTAGATAGATAAAAAATAACAACACCAAAGCTAAGATTATCTTATATAAATGTTACTCATTAGAATATCATTACCAATTTTATGTAAATTTTTTTAATTTGTAGGATGATTAACACTCATGGTAGTAAGAAGAAGGTAGTGAAATTTAAATTATGGAATTCCCGTGAATCAAGTCATCTTAAAATTTTATATGGAAATTTTTTAAAAATAAAAGTTAAAAAAGACAATGAACAGGCTAAATGTAAAAACCTTTATATACAAAAAATGATAAAGGTTTAAACCAAATTTTGTTAAACATATTAAAGTATATTATTTATGTGTGGTTAAAAGTAGCATGAGTTATCTTAAAATTTCAATTTTACAATATTGTCTACCTTTATTAAAAGCTGCCCAAGATGAGAAAGAAAGAATTTTCCTGTGATATGAATATAATAAGGCTTTTTTGACATCAACACAAAAACTTATGGATTGAGTTAGATGATAAAAAAAAACGTTTCATAGTATATTAATTAAAGGACCTAAATATAGTACCAGGTGTATAAACAAGCTTAAACTATAACACCAATATTTAACATCTAATAAAAAATGATGATTATTTTTCTTTTGGTGAAACAAATGTTGCTGAGTTAATAATACAAATAACATTGAACTGGAGGTTTAAATTATATTAAAGGAAGTTTGAAATACATTATAAATGCTTAATTATTATTCTTCCATTTAGGAAATATTTTATAAATATAATAAAGCAATACCTATATTAGCTCCAATTGAAAGGTTATTTAGTTTTGGCACAATATTAAATATGTCGAAAGGGCAAAAAGGACTAATGATAAATTATTTGATTTAAATACTCTTTTGGAAATTAATATTTCAACTCCCATTAAAAATACTAGTCTTTCTTCCCTATCTATGCTAAGAATGGGCTATAATATTAAAATGCTTGATTATTATAATTAACTCATCATTAAATATATTATTAATTATTGTTAATATTCATTCTTATTATATGTGTGTTATGTTCTACAAAAATAAAGAATAAAAACATTATTTTTATAAACTATTCTAATTTTAATTTAAAAGTAATTTAAGATACCCTAATTAGGCAAAAGATACAAGTATCTTTTTGATATTTTGAAAATGATACTAGTATCTGTATCTAAGATTCATTTTTTCACAAAGAATTTGTATTTGTATCTAGATCCTTTTTTCGAGGACCTGCCCAACTCTGATAATTTTAATTAAAATGATTGTGAAAATATAAAATTACTTCAAACTCGAAATTTAAATTCTTGAGGTGGTTGCATCATGGGGACTGGGCTTAGAAATAAGCTCAGTAGATCGTATCTCTAAGGATATTGCAGTTGTCATCAAATAAATTACCACACTATTTCAAGTTTATAATATGCTTAAAAATATTAATCACTTTGACTTTCACATATAATGTCATTATTAGTTTTAGTTTGAATAATTATAAATAACATTATATTTATACATTTGCGCAAATTACAAAATTGAAAATATACTTTTCATCAATAATTTTTTAAAATTTAATTACTGAAATGATAACTTAATTAACTAATACTACACTAATATTTCAAATTTTTGAAACAATTTGTGACTTTTCTAGTTTTAGTAAAGTTAATTTCCCACAATTTCTTTTATAATATTTAAACATTAAGTTTTAGCTTATTTAATTACTTTCCCTTTTTTTAAATCCAATATTTTTATAAATTAATATAAATTTTGGTTTGTTTACTCTCTTTTGTTTTATATTTAATAATAAAACAATTTCACTGAAATAAATAAAGATGTTGCATATAAAAAAAAGTCTCTTTTGATCAAGTATATATTATATATATTAATAATTCACTCTACTGCAAAGAAGTAGAAATTAAAGTTAGCTATTAAATATTTCCTATTTTGAAAAATATTACATAACATTACTGATCGTTAATATCTATATTAAATAACTATAATAATTCATGGGAGGGAAAGATGGATAAGTAGGCCAGATAAAATAATTCGATTTTATATAAAACGGCTATGAGCCTAGCCAATTAAAATGGCTACAGCTAATAGCCATAATAATTTATGGCTTAACATAGCCGTTTTTGCGCATTATATTCTTTAAAAATTTTAATAAACAATTTAATTTCTTATAATAATAACAAGTATTTCTATAAATCGTAATTTATTTTTTTATTAGAAAAAAATGAATTGTAACACAAACCCAAATGACGTAATTTTAAACTATCATAATATCTGCATACGGAGTCGTGATATTTCCCTCCTGACAGGCCCTGGAGATCTTTGGATCAATGACGTGCTTCTTGGATTCTTTTTCACTTATCTTGAACATAATCCTACCTCATACCTTCCTTCCTACCTAACAAATTCCCCACACTGCGATAAAATCGCATTTATTGATCCATGCACAGCCAAAGCTCTTGAAATTTTGCCCGATATATCGCCTTTAGTTGAACATCTAGACTTCAATTCCAAAATCCTCTTATTATTTCCCATAAATAGTGGTAACGGAAGTGGCAACGGGGAGCACTGGAGCTTAGCGGCCATTTATCGAAGACCCAATAGCGATAAATCTTTCCAGGTTTATCACTACGATTCCGCAAGCAATAGTGGCGGGTTATCTACTAATAGTTATAATGTAAAATCATTAGCTCTCAATTTATCCCCTGTATTATATTTAAATAGTGACAATCATAAAAATAATTTTGACGTTATCAACGTTAAGGGCTGTCCATTTCAGGCAAATGGTAATGATTGTGGCATATATTGTTATACCTTTGCGAAACGTATCGCCCAAAATTTTGTTCGGCATTTCAATGAAAAATCGGAAAATATTGTTTTGAATGATATCGATGAAGGCGTATTTGTGCCAGGTAGCAAAATGGACCTCGAGCTTCCAATAACTCCCCAATTTATAAAAGGGGAAAGAAAACGACTTTTTGATCTTGTGCTGGAGTTGGCGCGAGTTTAAATTATTTCTAATTTGGAATATTTAATTCATCAACCCTTAATAAAAATACAATTGTATTATAAATTATGTATATTACTGTTATAAGTTACAACTAATATTTAATCATGGAACCAGTGAATAGAAATTTTTCTTACAAAATTCTTAAATAAACAATATAATCTTTATATTATGCTAAAAAAACTAAACTGACTTCGTTAAAAAAAATTAATATAATTTTTATAACGTTAAAAAGATTAATATTATTTTTAGTGCGTTAAGAAAAATTACTATTATTTTTAATACGTTAAAAAAAATATACATGTTGGTAGCAAATTTAATATTGCTTATTTTTTTTAAAATAAATATTTTAAAAAATCATGGAGTGGCCTCGCATGTAGCTGGTATTTTTGTAAGCACAGAGGCGAATAAGGTTTTCTGCAAGTTGGACTATGCCTTCAACACCATTCACAGGAGCTTATTTCTACCCTTTTTCCTACATCATTTCCCCAAATATTGGAATTTCCTTTATTCCTGCTATGGATTTCCCTCGTTACTCAAATTCGGGATATTTTCCATATCCTCTGAAGAGGGGATTCAACAAGGTGATTTACTAGGTCTTGCTCTTCACCATATGTATACATGATTTGATTAAGAATTTAAGTCTGATTTCAAATTAGACCTTAATATATGGTACCGCGACGATGGTTCTTTTGACGGATCTTTACCCAATGTTTTATCGGCCATCGAGTACGTTGAAATGGAAGCTTCGAAAATTTGTTTTTTTTAAATAGAGAAAAATGTGAAATATCTTCCCTCAACAATAAGTATTTTACTCCTCCCCCAGATTTTGAAATCATTCCGCACGAGGAACCTCTCTTTTAGGTTCTCTTATTGGCTTTTCAACTTTTGTCAAAATTTTTTTAATTAAGAATCTTCCTCATCTTCCCAAGCATCAGTTTTTTTTCCTCACAAAAAAATGTTTTTCTTACTTAAATTCTTACACATCTTTAAATTTTTCCCGGCTAATTCCCTCTTTAAATTGTTCGAATTAAAATTTAAACATTTTATCGAATTACCTAGTCCTAAAGTTTTCCGACTTTAATTGGTCATTTGCCACCATGCCTACTTACCAGGGAGGACTTAGACTTTCATCCCCCATTTTAATCACAATTGCATGTTTCCTTTCTTCACGGATATCCTTTAACGACTATATTTCCTCGCTTATCGAGTTCGATCCCCTTTTAACTTCGGCAAAACAATCTGGCTTCCTCTAGTTCTCCAAGGATCTGAGCACCCAGTGTCAAGTCATTTAAAGAGTTTTTTTAGTTCCTATGCTTCAATGTGCATTTGAAAAACTTTGTTTGTGCCCCGATTCAACCAACCTTCAAATACTCAGAGACGCAAAAAATCCTAACGGCCATGAATGGCTGGATGCGATCCCATGTGGTAAAAAGGATATGTTACTCACAAACGATGAGTATCAAATTGCCATTGGCCATCGGCTAGGGTACCTTATCTCGTCTGTTGACATCTGTGCTGTCTGCAATAGGCAAGTTGATTCATTTTCTAGACATTGTTTCTCTTGCCTCAAAGTCAGTGGCCGTATTTTGCGACATGACAATCTATATAGGTTGATTGGCAATGATTTCGGCCGCTTTCCCCAATAGTTTAGAGCCCTTAGGTCTCCTAAATGAGGATGGTGAGCATCTCCGATGACACTTTAACATCTTGACTCGTGGCAAAACACTTGTCTGGGATGTCTCATGTGTTACCTCATTCCCGGCTAATAGAAACTCGGACCCCTTGGAACTCCAAGAAATAAAAAAATGCAATAAATACAGTTCCCTCCTTAATTTTTTTTATTTTGATTCCCCTAATTTTTAGTGTTTTGGGAAACCGGTCCTCAATTTTTAAATCAAATGAGTAGAAAAATTTCAATAAGGACAGGGGTCGAAACACCCCATTTTCCCTTTTAGTTTTTTACTTATCTTTTTTATTTAATATATTAGAATGTTTTTTCACATTATGGAAATGTGTTATAACAAATCATATTATTACTATACAATTTAATTTTCATAAAATAAAAGAGAAATTTTTTTTTTGTATTATATTTTTTTCCTACCTTTTTTTAAATAAAAAATTTTTTCTTTTTTAAAAGCAATAATTAATATTTAATAATTGTAATTGTATTATTGAAAATTTATTAATATATTTAGCTCAAGAAATTTTGATGCGAAAAAATTGATTATTAAAAAAGGAAGACCTTTTACAAAACTTAAAATAAGAAATCAAAATTTGCATTCGTAATTTTTCTATTGATAAATATGAGTGCCTCACTGGATGTGAATGTTCTAATTCTCTGTATTGCTGGTCATGCCTATTATTCCCAAAGAAAAAACATGTTTAGAATGATAAAGGATTTTCGGATATGAATCATTTTTAAGCATGAAAAATCAACTGCCCATTTGCAGTCGATGAATCAATTAAAAACATTTGGCTAAAATTGTATTGAAAATATGATAGATTCGATGCGCAAAATATAAATTGAACAGCATAATTCAAAAGTCAAATCAAATAGAGAAATATTGAAAATATTGATCAACTCTATGTTTTCTTGAAATTAAGAGCTCGCATTCCGTGGTGATGATGAATTTTCTAATTCAGTTTATAGAGGAAATTATATTGAATTAATTAATTTGCTCGCTGAAGAAAATTTACTATTGAAACATCATTTAGAAAATAGTACAGTTTTTATTGGACTATCAAGCGATATTCAAAATGATTTAATTAATTCTATTTCATATGTCTTACACCAAAAAATATTAAATGAACGGAATTTATAGCAATAATAAATTGATGAAACAACTGATATAAATGATAAATCTTAACTGGCTGTTGTTCTTCGATATGTTTTAAATAACGGGACATTGTATGAAAGATTTATTGAATTCTTTGATGTTACTATGCATATTTCAAATATCTTCTTTATCAATACACAAAATATCAGACAAGGTATATGTCGTAGTTCGCAATATTTTTTCTTTAGTTTATATAAATTAGTAAAAATGTCAATCATTTTTAAAAAAACTTTGATTTTTTTTGATATAATTTTTTTTATCGTTTTTTGTAAAATGATTTTTTATTATTATTAATTTTTTTTTGCTTAAAATTATAAAATAATTAATATTTTTTTGTGCTGAAATTTTCAAAAACGAAGAATTAATTTTTCTGAGATTTTTTTTATCAAGTTTGGTTTAATGATTATTAATTTTTTGGATATTTTTTTTTGTAAAATGATATAAAAATATATTCGACATTTTTTATTAAAGATTATATTTTTGCAAATTTATTTGATTAAAAAGTTTTACAATATAAAAGTTCGAAATTATTTTAAATTTATCACATTATATTTTTGGCTTTAATTAAGATTTATCGAAGTATTATTGAGATATCTGTGTGAGCCTTTGGTTGTAAGTTCTAATATTTTTCGTAGGCTCTTTGATTTTTTGTAAATTCTCCCAATTTTGGATTTTGGTAAGTTTTTTCTTGTTTATTTTGTTAGATAGGATATTAGATACCAGAATTATTCGTTATTATAAGGTAAAAACCACATTTTTATTTTACATTTTGTATTTCTCCTTAGGATACAACGTAATCATATCATTTTTGTTGTTTAAATTTTTTAGAATTTTAAATGATAAAATAGTTTGAAAAATATTTTTTTAGATTAGTTTGATTAGCACCCAAGCTTTATAATATAATGTAATTTTCTGTACGTAATTTTAGAGTAAAGTAAATTCGTAATAAGCGATGTTTGTATTTCGATAAGTATCCTAAGCCTAGTTTTATTAATTAAGTTTTCATCCTTAGGGATATGGGTTATAAAATTTTGTAATAGGCCATCATTTAGTTACATTAGGATTGAAAGTAATTATATATTTAATATATATTACTTTGAAATTTTTATTTGGAAAATGTAATTTGGTTTCAACCAAGGTATATGGTAATTGGAAAAAAAGCACTCCAGTGTCTGCTGCTTGTTGGAAAAAAATTTCGGTCTTGGAAAGTAATTTAAATGAGGTTTTAAATGAAATCAAGAACGGCAGACCAGAAATGGTAAAAATGTTGAAATGTAATAACGGTGATCGTTTGGAAATGGTGGATAGATCTGTGGTTATCCTCCGGGAACTGAAAGAAATGAAAGAGGTGATTAAGATCTTTTATCAAGATATACATAAATTAATTAATTTGAATAGTAATGGGGGTAAAGGCCAAATATGTGTTCCGGCGGGTTCAAATGGAAAAAATACTCCGGGAATAAAAAAATCTTTGAAGATTTGAAACCCGCTGTGGGTATAAGGGCCACAAGGTAGAGACCTGTGCGATCAGAACAAAATTTTCGTGAGGGTTTTCCGTTAAGGAAATCAATACTGGAAAATTCTAATGTTAGAAAAATTTCTGGTACCAACACGAATAAATTGAAGGTTCTACAATCGAATTATGGTAAACCGTTTGTGTTTTAAGTGTAACTAACCGGGACATGTAGCCATGAACTGTTCCGAAAATTGACTATATGATTGCAGGTGTAATCATATAGTGGGTAGGAGATCGGGAGGTCGAAATAGTAATAAATTATATAACCATGCGGAAATGAGATATGATTCTCATAAAAGCCGGGGTTTTAACAAAAAAGTTTTTTATTCTGATGATAAAAATAAAAATAATAAAGGTTGTCATAATTTTGGATGGGAGAAATATCCTAAGGTTATTGTTAAATATTCCGATAATAGGGATGTTAATACTTTCAAAAAGATATCCCCGTGATATTGTTAAAAATAATATGAATATTATTAAAGAACCGCTAAATTCCGAGTTGAATTTATGTTCAAATGTGAATTCTCATGAAACTGTTGTTTCGAATGAAATAAATTTTGATCAGTCAATTAAAACATATGAGATTTTAATGACTGAGCGATTAGTCGAACCTTGTCCTTGTCCGAGAGTTACTCTA